GTTACAATTATAATGAATCCAAAAATAATTTTTTACTATTAAATCCATCTTATAGCTGAGTGTCTGTTCATTTTATGCAAGATTTTCCATCATGTATATACCAAGTTTGTTTAGAAAAGCTTCAATATATTTATTTATACAACTAAATATGATTTTATAATATATTAAAAATCTCTCATATAACAACTATCAAAAAAAGTTTGAAGTAAATACTATCAAATCCACTAATTAGATAAATTTACCACAATATTTTAGATTAGTTTTTGATTTGAATAAATAGTAAGCGATTTAAGTGAATTAATTTCTCCAAGATCAAATTTTGGTATTTTTTATCTTTGGAATTAAGAAAGAGGAAAAAAAAAGCGTATTGATTACGAAATCTAATCAAAGTGGTTTTGATATAATTATATAATATAATTTGTTATTCATTTATTTAAATTCAATCAGAATAAAACATATTACTTAAAAGAAGATAGATTATGATTGTATAAAAAATTGATATAACTAATTTAATTAATTTTTTGTTACAACACAGAAAATACCCATAATATCCAAAAATGCTCTTTCTTTTAATATCCACTAGATCCAATATTTGTAAAGTGATTAATAACAAGATTTTAATCTTTGATTACATAAACTTTTATTAGCTTAAGATGCTTAATTTAACTAAGAAAAAAAATAGCTGTAGCTTATCAATTTAATATAATAAAAGCAAAGCATTTGTTTCTTCACACATACTTTTTAGGATAATAATAATCAAAATATATTTTTAAAATATAGCGTAGTGTAGTGTAGTGTCATTTTATTTAAAAAACTTAAATTTAACAATTTTAAAAAGAAAATATTCATATTAATTATCTTCCATTTAATAATAAACTATTAATATAATTATTGTCCTTTATATAGAAGAGACAAAATTAGCTAGAATATGTTTTAAAATAAAGGATATTTATCTATAATATTTATTACCCTCATCAATGATTAGTATAAAATTATATGTAAAATGATATGAGTAATTTTGAACGACTTTAAATTTGTTAAAAATTGATACAGACTTAAAGATAGATCAAAAAGAAATTAGCTGTAAATAAATAGAGAAAATTGTGAAGAATGAATATAATGACAATAACAATCAAATATATGTAAATAAAAAAAGGATAGCTCTATTCATTTTTAACCATTTGTTAATTAACTTCTATTTACAAAATATAAAGTATAGTAATAGTGTATAGATTTCTCAATCAAAATAATAATTAATTTAATTAATAGTTGTTACTCACAAATCAGAAAAAAAAGATATAAAAGTTAAGTATTAATTTACTTGCTTAATAGCAAAGTAAAGATTACTGTATTAATAAACTCCTTTTTGTGTGTATGATTGCCTTTTATAAAAATGCGCATATTCTTATCATATGCATAAAAACAAAGCATTTATCTAGCTAAAAAAATAACTTCAAATGAAATTGTGACATCAAGTGTTTAGATTACACTTAAAAATAAATATCTTTAAAAATAAAAACTAATTAATTATTTTTTTTGCTCTTTTGTCTTATCTGTCTTGATTCCATTTTTTTCTTTTTCTCAAAGTAAGTCATCTTAAAAAAAATTACGATATAAAAAATTAAAATTATTTTTAGTTTAAATTTTAAAGTGTAGATTTATATATAACCCATTTCAAAGTATTCACCCCCATCCTCTAAAATTTGATATAAAAATTTCCCATTCTTCAAAATCTATAAGATTAAGTGCTTAATTTTTCATTTGAATATTAAAAACAAAGATGATACAGTATATTAAAATATTTAGTTTATACAATCCTTATTAGATCTAATTTAATTTATATTTTTTACCATATTTATTGGTAATAATTGTATTAAAACTTTAATCATTAAAAGTGTAAGAAAAAAAATGAACTTGCTTTATACAAATCAAACTCAAATAAAAAGCAGTAGCAAAAATTTTTTTACAATTTAAAGAATTACCTTTTTTGTTAACTAAATATGTCAGTGAGTTGAGTGATATTAAGATATAAAAAAATAAAAAAATGTATTTTTTGAATATGATTTTTAAAAAACGTGATGTAATATTTAGAAACCTGATAAAAAAACCGAATTAATCAAATTATTTAATTTTTACTAAACAAAAATAAATTTCATTAAAACCATAAAAGTCAAAGTAAAAACACTTACCAATTATTGATTATATGAACTATCTGATGAAATCTTAATTTACTTTTTTTAATGATTAAAATAAGAAAAGTTAAAATTAAGACATTTAAGCTAATTTAAATAAAGCGATTTCTTTTTTGAAATTACATGTTAAAAGTAACTTATCCATTTCTTAAAATAGATTTTTATTTATTTAGATAAACTGGCAAAAATATTTTTACTAGAATTTTATGTTTATTTTTAGACATTATGAAGATAAGTATATCTTTGAATTCAAAATGAAAATATGTAAGTTAATAATTAAATAATCAAATTAGATCGGGTGAGGTTTGACGGTGAGTGTTTCTAAGTAGGTATTTCTTTTTATTATTTGATATGTTTTTCAGTTACTAACTATTTTTTTTCATAAATAATTGAAAATTATTTCAGAAATTAAAAGATATTCGAAACAAAATTTTTAATTATTCAAAACTCAACTAGTAAATAATAGAAGAAATTCAAATGATTTTTGAAGTTTAAGTATCTATGCTATTTCTAAAATGATAAATAATATTAAATCAAAAAATATAAATTAACCAAAAAAAAATATAATAATAATATGAAGAACTAAAAAACTTGTCTGCTCTTTTTGGCACTTATTTAGCTTTCCTATTAATATTGCCATTACTCTTTGACACCTAATATTTATGACGGTGATAGTTGTAATTGCTATGAAGGATAATACACTAATAACAAAAATTGTTTTTTTTGCCCTAATTCAAGTTTTGCTTCAAGAAGTAAAAAGGTACCTACATAGGCCTCTGATTGCAGAGCTTGCTCTATAGGTTTTTATATGACATAAGCGGCATCATCAAGCTAAAGTGCTATTTGTTCAAAATGTCCTAAAAATTCGTATCTTTTTTAACAAGCACAAAGTGTTTCAGATGAAAGTGTCTGTAGGAGTTGTTAACCAGACTATTAAATGATTAAAGATGCTATATCTCCTTCAAGTGAAAATGGTAATAAAGGTAAGGCAGCATAATGCTAAAAGTGTCCTAATAATACTTCATCACTTTTTACTACAGATTGCAGTAGTTGTGCTGAAGGTTTTTATGCTACTTCATATGATCCTTCTAATTAAAATGCTAATTGCTAAATTTGCCCTAATAATTCTAGTCCTATGCCGCCAGATCAAAATCGAACTTAAACTTCTCAAGATTGTAAGAAGTGTAAAAAAGGATTTTATAATGCTGAAACTGATTAAAGAAAACCTGTTAATTGTTAAAAATGCCCAGGTAATAAAACAACTTAAGGAATATCTTCACAAAATATTTATTCATGTATTTGTAGTAAAAGCTAGTATATAACAGCACTTCCGAATAATACTTCTCCTTTTACTTGTTCATCTTGCCCTACTGGTTCAGGAAGGCTTTTTGATTTATACTTAGTCGGAGATGAATCCACATGTGATGTTTGTTTAGAAGGATATTATTTAATCACACCATATTAAGATCCAGTTGGTAGTAATCCTGGTGTTGGAGCATAATGCTAAATATGCCCTAAAAACTCCTATTCTGTAGCTGGAACTTCTAACTCTCCTTCATCATGTTCTTTGTGTAAGCCAAATTATTATATGACAAAAGCTGCTGATTCAACTAATTCTGCAGAATGTTAACCCTGTCCTAATAATACTGCAACTTTAGATCCAGTAAGTTAAGTTGGGGATGCAACTTAATGTACTGTATGTGTAGCTGGTTATTACATGACTTAATCATATTAAGATGGAAAAACAGCTTAATGTTAGTAATGTCCTGCTGGATCAAACACAAATCCTGGTTTAAACACAATTTGTTATTGTTATGACTAATATGCATCTTGGTCAACTACTTAAAACTCTTGTTAATGTAATCAAGGTTATGGTGGCTCGCCAGCTACTACCATGGATACTTAAGGATGTACTCTTTGTCCCGCAGGATAATACTCCTCTTCTGGAGTTTGTGTTGATTGTCCTGCTGGTACTTTTTCAAGTTCTCCTGGTAGTGCTTCTTGTACAAAGTGTACCTCAGGATAATTTGCTACAGGAAAAGGAAATACATCTTGCTAAACTTGTCCTAGTTCAACAGTCTCTTTGGATGATTTTACAAGTTGCAAATGTGTAGATACAAGTGCTGTTTTTGTAAGTGGTAGCTGTGTTTGCCCAGATGGATATGAAGGTACTCCTTCTAGCTCATCAGGTATTTAAGGATGTAATGCATGTATAGCTGGTAAGTTCTCTAATTCTTCTACTTCTGGAATATGTACTGTTTGTCCTGCTGGAAAATACTCACAAGGTATCGGAAATACTGATTGCAAATAATGTGAAATAAATACGTTTGCTCCTAATACTGGAAGTTCTAGTTGCAATAGATGCGGATCTGGATCTACTAATAATGCTGATTTTAAAGGTTGTTCATGCATAGATTCTAATGCAACCTAAACAGACAGCAAAAGTAGCTGCTAATGTAACTCAGGATTTGGTGGCTCACCAAAGACTTCATAAAGTTCTTAAAGTGGATGTATAGCTTGTGCAGCTGGTTAAGAAGTAAACAAAACATCTGGGTAATGCTCTCCTTGTGCTGCTGGATATTATTCTAGTAATTCAGTAAATCAAAATTGTTCATAATGTTCGGCAGGATAATATGCAAGTGGAACAGGAAATAGCTCATGCTCTAGCTGTCCTAACGGTTAATCATCTTTAGATGATTTTTCTGGCTGTAAATGCAATGATTCAAATGCTATCTTTGATAATAATAAATGCATCTGTAAATAAGGTTATGGAGGAACACCTAATTCAGCTAAAAGTGGCTCAACTGGATGTACAATTTGCCCATCTGGCTAATATTCTGATGTTTCTACATAAGGATAATGCATAGCATGTCCTGTTGGAAAATACTCACAAGGCACCGGTAATACTAATTGCAAATAATGTGAAATAAATACGTTTGCTTCTAATACTGGAAGTTCTAGTTGCAATAGATGCGGATCTGGATCTACTAATAATGCTGATTTTTAAGGTTGTTCATGCATAGATTCTAATGCAACCTAAACAGACAGCAAAAGTAGCTGCTAATGTAACTCAGGATTTGGTGGCTCACCAAAGACTTCATAAAGTTCTTAAAGTGGATGTATAGCTTGTGCAGCTGGTTAAGAAGTAAACAAAACATCTGGGTAATGCTCTCCTTGTGCTGCTGGATATTATTCTAGTAATTCAGCAAATCAAAGTTGTAGATAATGTTCAGCAGGATAATATGCAAGTGGAACAGGAAATAGCTCATGCACTAACTGTCCTAACAGTTATTCATCTTTAGATGATTTTTCTGGCTGTAAATGCAATGATTCAAATGCTATCTTTGCTAATAATAAATGCATCTGTAAATAAGGTTATGGAGGAACACCTAATTCAGCTAAAAGTGGCTCAACTGGATGTACAATTTGCCAATCTGGTTAATATTCTGATGTTTAGACATAAGGATAATGCATAGCATGTCCTGCTGGTACTTATTCATCAAATAATGGTAGTTCATCATGTAACCAATGTAATGAAGGTTAATATGCATCAGGAACTGGAAATAGATCTTGCTAAAGTTGTGGATCTACTTTGACAAATACTGATGATTTTTCAGGTTGTAAATGTATAGATCTGAATGCAATAAAACCAGCAGCTAATCCTAGCTGCGTTTGTAATTCAGGTTATATTGGTTCTCCAGCAACATCAAAGAACTCTTAATTAAGCTGTACTGCTTGTCCTGCTGGATAATTTACAGACTCTGGAAAATGTTCTCCATGTGGAGTTGGAACATTTTCAAGTGGAACTGCAAATTCAGCATGCAGTAAATGTTTAGCAGGGTAGTTTGCAAATGGTACAGGAAATACAAAATGTCAAGCTTGTGCTCCTGGTTCAACCAGTACAGACGATTTTTCAGGTTGTAAGTGTTATGACTAAAATTCGGTAGCTTGGAATGCAAGTAACAACATATGCTAATGTAGTACTAATTAATATGGGGATGCTAGTAAAGCCACAGAAGCAGAAAAATCCCAATGCAATCCTTGTCCGAACAACTCAACATCAAAAGTTGGTGCTGCTAAAACTGAAAAGGACTGTTAAGTTCCTTAAAGTTAATAAAACACCTAATTTTCATTCTCATAAATCCTAAATTTATCAATATTTATTTTTTTGATTATTTTATGAGAAAATAAAATAATTTTTTCTATAAAAGTTAAAATAGATTAAAATAAATTGAAATATTATTTTTAAAGTTGTAATTTATTTTTTTTGTTTACTATTAAAATAAATTTACTCTAATATTTTAGTAATAGTGTTGATAAAAAATAATATTGATTTACATTTATTTAAACATTTTTTGATTATAGATAACTAATTATTAATAAATTGTGCTTTATTCATAATAATTTAAAATACTGTGTAAATCAGTAAATATTTGTATTATAATTTTAAAATAGTGTAAATTATTTTTTAAGTATATAAAAAATAATTGTATTGTAATTATTTTGTTTCACTTTTTTATACAGTGAAAAAATACATGTATGTAATGGAGATTTTTTTAAAAATAAAATGTTTAATTTCTTATTAATTGTATAAATAAATATATTTACTTTGCAACAATCAATAAAAAATACTTTCTCCTTCACTTTAAATTATTTATTTCATCCTATCTGGCATACTAGAAATAGATTTTACTATAAAATCTTTCATTTCATCTGAATAAAATGTTTCAGCAGATCTATCCCACAAATAATCTTTAGAATTTATTATTTCTTTCACTTGAATAATTAATTTTTCATTTGAAATTGGGCTTAAATTAGGGGATTAGGGAAGCCAATTTATCATGTTGATTTGTTCTTCTTAATAAATTCTAATGTTTCTTTGCAATTATTTGTATTTGCCCCATCTTACTAGCAGATGTCTCCCTTTTTTTAAACTAAAATAATTATTCATTTTTGGCATTTTGATGTAGTTTTCTGAAGTAATACTATAATTTTTCTCTCTTACTTCTTGAATATAAAATATAAATTTGAATTAAAAAATTTCCCATCCTTTTGTTGAAGTTAGTTGAGCTAAGAAAAAGAAATAATCTCTAATTAAAAATCATATTTTATATTTTTTTTCTAAACATATTTTAATTATCAATCTCCTACTTACTTACTTACTTAGTAATTTTAGAGGAACTACTTCACTTAAGTAAATTAAATTCTTAAATTTTCTTTTATTTAATATGCTATTTATTTATTATTTATTAACTTACCAAAATTATGATATTTAAAATATAAAAATAATCTTAAAAATATCTAGGTTAAATTATTTTAATACAAACTATTATAAAATAAAACATACATACATACGTACTATATAAATTCTATTATTCAAATATTTTTGAATTTATTGATCCTTTTTTTCACGATTTATATATCAATAATAGAAATTTATATGTAAGACAACTAATTATTTTGATTTAAGATAGTTGATCATAATTTTAAATTATTCTGAATGATTGATTCCGCTTTGACTTTTAATATAAATTATAGTAAAATATAAATCAAAATTAATGATAATAAAATAATTAATTAAAAATTTTATCTTAAATCAATTAATATACACATATATACATATGCTGAATAAAAAAGATCAAAAAAAAACTAATAAATAAAAAAATTAAAGGAATTATATTTTTTTAAATTAACTTTTATATTAAAAAATATCACAATCCAAAATAAATAAACTGTTTTTACCCTATCAAAAGTTTTAAGTAAGAGAGATTAATGCATTTAGCTAAAGCTAAGCCTAAGCTTGATGCACCAACTGCACTAATTAAATTGTCACTTTTTAATTATTGAAGAAAATATATCATTAATTTATTTATTAGAATGAAAAAATATGAAATAATAAAAAATAAAATAACTTTTAAAGCAAAATTTGAAAATGAAAAAATTAGTTAAATTAAAAAATAAGAAAAAAAAAAGCACAATAAAAGATAAAAATAAATGAAATTAAAAGCTAATAAATCAGTTAAAAGAGTTAGTTATATTGTTTTAATATGTTCACTCTTTCCATCTGAGATAATAATTTAAATACTTTTGCTAAGGAAAGTTTCATATTTGATTTTATTTGATTATTAAAAAGTTATTTTTGTTGATTGTCTGTAAATGGTAATTATTATGAATTGTTTAAAAGATATATTGTATTTTAATATTTAAGGATATCACTTAAGGAAGACGAATAAGTTGTTCAATTTTACATTTAAAAATATAGCAATATAAAACAAACAAATTTTTTTTACCTAAGATTAAGTTTCAAATTTGAAAGGTTAGTGCACTTTGATAAAGTAGAACCTAAGTCTGATGCACCAATTGCTCCAATTTAGTTTTCACTTTTTAAATATTGGAGAAAAAATATTTCATTAATTATTTAGTTAGTTAGAAGGAAGGAAGGAACAAATGAAGAAAAAATATGAATTAAAAAGAAATGAATTAATTATTTAATAATAAAAGTAAAGGTTGAAAATGAAAAAATGAGATAAATTAACAAAATGAAAAATAAAACACAAGCAGAATAAAAATAAATAAATAAATAAAAAGAGCTTTCATGTTATCAATTTGTTTTTATTTATAAAAATATAACATCCAAAGCAAATAAATAGTTTTTACTTAAGATCAAGTGTCAAATTTTAGAGTTTAGAGCACTTTGCTAAACCAGTACATAAACCTGAAGCACCTTCGTCACCAATTTAATTTTCTCTTTTAAATATTGAAGAAAAAATATTAAAAAAAAATAGAAATAATCAAAAATGAATGAATTAATAATAAATACAAAAGTTAAAAATGAAGAAATGAGTTAAAGTAACAAATAAAGAAAAAAATAAAGCAGAATAAATAATTAAAATAAAATAAATAAAAGCTTTTAAATAAGTTAATAAATAAATAAATGAAATATCTTTGTTTTAAATTCATTTTTAGGTTAAAAAAGATCACAATACAAAACAAATAAACTATTTTTACCTAATATTAAGATTCAAATTTGAGAGATTAGTGCACTTTGCTAAAGCAAAACCTAAGGCTGATGCACCAAGTGTTCCAATTTAATTTTGACTTTTTAAATAATGAAGAAAAAATATAAAATTAATTTATTTATAGGAAGGAAATAGTAAGAAAAAAAATGAAATAATAAAAAAGAAATAGTTTAATAATGAATACAAGATTTGAAAATGAAAAAATAAATGAGGTTAATAAATTAAAAAAGATAAAAAAATTCACACACAAAATAAAAAAATAAAATTAAATAAATAAATAAATACTAATAAATGAGTTAATAAATGAATAAATAAAAGGAAAAATATTGTTTTAAATTCGTATTTGTCACAAATCAAAGTAAATAAACAGTTTTTACAGTAAAGAAAGTGTCAAATTTGAGAGGTTAGCACACTTTGCTAAAGCAGAACCTAACTTAGAAGTGTCATTTGCACCAATTTAATTTCCACTTTTTAAATATTAAAGAAAAAATGTAAAATTAATCAGTTGGTTAGAAGGAAAAAATGGAAAAAAAAAATATGAAATATTCAAAAATTAATTAATTATTAATGTATGCAAAAATTGGAAATTAAAAAATCAATTAAATTAAAAAGAAAGAAAAAAATAAGTTGAATATAAAATAATATAGAAACCAAATAAGTAGCTCATAAATTTTAAATTAAAAAAAGTTAGTTATATTTTTTTAAATTCATTTTTATATTAAAAAATATCACATTCTAAAACAAAAAAACTGTTTTTACCCAATCAAAAGTTCTAAATAAGAGAGATTAATACATTTTGCTATAGCAAAACCTATACCTGATGCACTTTCACCATCAATTTTATTCCAACTTTTTAAATATTTAAGAAAAATAAAAAGGTATATTAGTAGAAAAAAATGAAGAAAAAATATGAAGTAATAACAGATGAATTAATTAATTGATAATGAAAGCAAAATTTGAAAATTAAAAAATGAGTTAAATTAGTAAACAAATAAAAAAAAACAAGCAGAAAAATAAAATAAAATAAAATAAATTAAAAGAATAATATTTTTATTAATTCATTTTAATATTAGAAAATATCAAAATAAAAAACAAATAAACTGATTTTACAAAAGATTAAGTGTCAAATTTGAGAGATTAGTACACTTTTCTAAAGCTGAACCTAATTATGATGCACCAATTGCACCAATTTTATTGCTACTTTTAAATATTAAAGAAAAATCAAAAGGTTTATTAGTTTTTTAAAAGGAAAAAAAATATGAAATAATCAGAAATAAATGAATGAATTAACTAATTATGAATGAAAAAGTTAAAAATAAAATAATGAGTTAAATTGAAAAGCAAAGAAAAAAAAATATCAAACCCTAAATAAATAAATAAATAAATAAATAAATAAATAATTTGTTTTTACCTAAGTTCAAGTGTCAAATTTGAGAGTTTATCATAGTTTACTAAAGCAGAGCTTAAATATGAAATACCTTCATCACCAATTTAATTTCCGCTTAATAAATAATTATTGAAGAAATAAAAAATAATTAGTTTGTTAGAAGGAAAAAATGAATTAAAAAATATAAAATAATCAAAGATAAAATAGCAGTTAAAATTTAAAAAAATGAATTAAATTAACAAAAAAAAAGAAAAAAAAACATTATTAGAATAAAAAGTTTTATTCAAACAAAAAGCTAATAAATAAATCAAAATAATTAAAATGTTTTAAATTCATTTTATCTTAAAAATATCTTAATCAAAAACAAAAAATTGTTTTTACGAAAGATCAAGTGTCAAATTTTATATACTAGTGCACTTTGATAATGCTAAACCTAAACATGATACACCTTTAGCACTAATTTAGCTCTGACTTTTTAAATATTAAAAAAGTATATAATTAATTAGTTAGTTGAAGGAAAAATGAAGGAAAAAATGAAGTAAAAATATGAAATTATCAGTAATGAATTAATTAAAAATAAAAGTAAAAGTTGAAATTAAAAAATAGGTTAAATTAAAAAATTTAGAAGAAATCATAAGCAGAATAAAAAATATTTAAAATAAAAAGCTAATAAATAAATTTAAAAATAAATGTATTAGAATAGTTAGTTAGTAATTTCAATAGAAGGAAAAAATGAAGAAAAAATATTAAATAGTAAGAAATTAATTAATTAATTAAAAGCGAAAGGAAAAATTGATAAAAAAGAATTAGCTAAATTAATGAACAAATAAGAAAAATAAATAGAAGTAAAATAAAAAACAAAAATAATATTTTTTTAAATCAGCTTTTATAAAAAAACAATCAAGATCAAAAATAAATAAACTGTTTTTACTTAAGAACAAGTGCCAAACAAGATAGATTAGTGCACTTTCCTAAAGCAGAAAAAGATAAACAAAATGCAACTTCATCACTAATTTAATTGTTACTTTTTAAATATTGAAGAAAAATTAAAAATTTATTAATTCATTTATAGGAAAAAATGAAGAAAAAAAGAATGAAATTATAAGAAATGAATTAATTAAAAATGAAAGTAAAAGTTGAAAATGGAAAAATGAGTTAAATTAAAAAAAAAAACACAAACAAAATAAAAGAAACCAAATAAAAAGCTAATAAATTTATAAATTAAAAGATTATTTAGCTAGTTATATTTTTTAAAAATTCATTTTTATATTAAAAAATATCGCTATCTAAAACACATAAACTGTTTTTACCGAAGATCGATTGTTAAATTTGAGAGATTTGAGCACTTTGCTAGATCAGAAAACAAATCTTATACCCCTTCAAGACCAATATTATTTTACCTTTTTAAATATTGAAGAAATTATAAATATTTATTTAGTTTGTTAGAAGGAAAAATAGAAGAAAATATTTGAAATAAAAAAAATGAATTAACTAATTAAGAATGAAAGAAAAATTTGTAAATGAAAAAATGATTTAAATTAGCAAACAAAGAAACGAAACACAAGAAGAATAAAAAAGAAAAATAAATTAAAAAAAAGCTTATAAAAAATTAAATGAATTAGCTATATTATTTTAAATTCATTTCTATTAAAAAATATTATAATCCAACACAAATAAACTGTTTTACACTAGATAAAGTTCCAGATTTGAGAGATTAGTGCACTTTGCTAAAGCAGAACCTAAACCTGATGTACCTTCATTACCAATTTAATTAACACTTTTTAAATATTGAAAAAAAATTATTAAGTTGTTTAGTTTTTTAGAAGGAAAAAATGAAGAAAACATATGAAATAATAATTAATGGATTATTTGAAAATAAAACTAACAATTTAAAATGAAAAAATGTGTTAAATTAACATAGAAAGAAAGAAAGAAATAACGAAAGAAAGAAAATAAACACAAACAGAATAAAATAAATTAAAAGAGTTAATTATATTTTCATAAGTCCATTTTTATATTAAAAAAATCACAATCCAAAATGAATAAAAAGTTTTACCTTAGATCAAGTATAAAATTAGTGAGTTTATTGCAGTTTACTAACTCAGAACATAAGCCTGATGCACCTATTGCACCAATTTAATTGTAACTTTTTAAATATAGAATAAAAATAAAAATTTAATTAGTTCGTTAGTTAGTTAGTTAGAATGAAAAAAAATTAAATAATCAGAAATGAATAAATTAATAATGAAAGCAAAATATGAATATACAAAAATGAGTTAAATTAATAAATAAAGAAGAAAAAATAAATAAATAAAATAAAAAATAAATAAATAAAGACATTAAATGAATTTTATAACTAAAAATATCACAATCCAAAAAATAAATAAACTGTTTTTACCAAAGACTGAGTTTCAAATTTGAGAGATTAGTGCACTTTTGTAAAACAAAACCTAAGCCTATTGCACCAATTGAACCAAGTTTACTCTAACTTTTTAAATATTGAAGAAAAAATATAAAATTAATTGTTATTTAGAAGGAAGAAATGAATATGAAATAATCAGAAATGAATTTATTAATAATCAAAATAAAAATTTAAAATAAAATATTAGATAAAATAGTTAAAAAAATAATAAAATTAATAAAAATGGATGAATCAAAGTAAAAAGTTGAGAATTTCTTTTGGAAAAATAAGAAAGATTATATGTAAATAATTTGAAAATTATATTAAAAAATAATTAATAAGTAATAATATTAATAAATAAAATATACCATTCAGCAATATGGATAACCTAATGAGATTAAAATGAAGTGTTTAAAAACTTTTTTATTTATAAAATTAATTTTAAAGTATATTATTAAAAAAATAAATTAATAATTACTTCTTCTATATTGTAGAATTATTTTTTCTATTATAACATTAATTTTTTTTTTAAAAAAATATTGAATAGTAATTTATTAAAATTTAATTAATTGTAAAAACACAGTATTGACTTTTTCTTTTTCAAAAATATTGTATAGTAATCTATTGAAATTTAATTAATTGTAAAAACATACATTGTATTTTGGCGCCTTGTATCTAGGCGCTTAAATTTTTAATTAAAAAGTATAAGAAATTCAAAAAATCTATTCTTTTTATTTTAACATTGATTTTCTTAGCACTCATCTATTTTGATCATTTTATTTATAGTAATTTACTTCGACTTTTTTTAAATAATCTGTAAAAGTATTTAATAAATATTATTTTAAAAAGAGAGATAAATAAATAAATAAAAGGATTTATTATTAATTTTGAAAAAACAGAACTTTGTTTTAAAATATGAAGCGTTTTATTCAAATCAAACAAAAAATAGCTTTAACTTATCAATTTAATTTTTTTGAAAGAATGCATCTTTTTATTCATACATACTTTATCGGATAAAAATTGTAGTCAATAAGTCAGTCACTGACGTGTTCAAAAAATTAGAAAAAATACAGAGAGTATTTAAATCCTAATAAAGTAGATTTTAATCCAGTAATCATGGGGAAAAAAATATATATTATAATTTATTTAATATATATTTAAGATGTCATAAATTAATAACATTTTTATTTATTCTCAAACCCTATTAAACATATATTGCTAATCCTATAATTAAAATATCACCAACTGCGTTGGTACAGAAGGTGATATTTCATTTAATTTTTATGATTTTAATATAATTTTACTCTTTCTGTTTTTTAATTTATTTATTTTATTATTCTATTTTTATTAAATTTAGAAAAAATTTAACTAAAAAACATTTTCACAACTTCATTCTTAATTAAATTAAAAGAAATTTGTTGTCAATTTAATTAAATTTCTAAAAATATCTTTGTATTAACACTTATATTTCTGTGTAAAGTAACTACACATATCCATACATACATAGATAAATAAGTACGTACATGATTTTTTTTATTCATAAGTATATTTATTGGATATAGAAAGAAAAAGTTTATGTTTAAACAAAGCTTTCTAGAAAAGCTTTATCTTTTAAATTATTTTTTAAGATGGCTTTTTAGACTTCTATTACTAATTATTCAAAGTCATCATTTTGTAAAAAAGCATGTGAGGTTTGTAATTTGTTAACAATACATTAATAAATTGACTTTCTTATCAGTACCAAAAGTGTTTTTAAATTTTTTATTTATTGCTCATCTGGATTATAAACAAGTTATTTATGGTTTTAAGACGCTTGAAATAGCTTTTTGAACTTATTTCCAAGCTATCTAGAAGAAATTTTATTGTTTATTGCCTTAAAGATTTGTTTTATTTATTCCTTTTAACTAGTAAATTTAAATCTTTAATTGTAAATTGTGTCAATATCAATTGGATTTAAGGAAGTAAAAACATTTTTATCCAAATCGATATAATAACACTCATCATCATAACCATATTGGTATTTGAATTCATCTGAGCTTAGATTGACTCCAAATATAAATGGTACTGGGCAATTAATTTGGCCCATCCGGTCTTTACTGAGCGAAGATATTATTGAGTAAGGAAACTTAAAAGGGTTAATGATATTTTAAAAGGTTATTATTGTAAATGTAAGCAATGTGATGTTTTCTGAGAGAAAAATCACCTTTTTTTCAAGCATAATTAGAGTAAATATAAGCTAAAAGTCTGAGTAAGGAAGGTTAGAAAATGTTAAATATGCTGTTTCTAATCCTTCTACATAGCACATTTCTTCTAAAATAGGTACATTGAATGATAATGTATTAAATTGGTTATATTATGTTGCTTAACTATTGTGAGTTATTCTATTTATCAAACTAGAGGAGATTTAATCTTCCTACTCTAATAAGTAGCTTTGAACATTTTTCAGAAAATAAGTTAGTACTCTATCAGGTGAGGGCTCCTTGATCTGTAAAGCGCTGAGACTTAAACTTAATTCTCTGTCTCTTTAGAGATAGAAGATCACTTTCTCGAAATCTATATCTTAAAGGTTATTGTCTATTTTACCTGAAAAAGACCCTTTAATTAATCTAATAGTCTTGATTCTATTGACTATTTCTAAGATTATTTTCAAGAAATAATCAATAAATGGATATTATGTAATGATGCAATAGACTGTTGGAAATAAGAAAATAGTTTTTTCTTAAGAAACTTCGTCTTGCGCGACTAGTAAATCATATTATTAATAGCAAATTCCATACATAAGCGAGTTTGAATTTGTATTCTGAAGAGAAATATGTTTACTTCTTTTATAATCATCTCCCATTAGGGTTAGAATAAATATATTCTAGTCAACGCCTCGCTGCTTTTACTTGCAAAGATTCATGAGGAAAATATCTTTGAACTTACCAGGCATATTTTATAAATCTGATTAACTCTTATATCTGTAATACTAAACACCTTATGGAAAGGCTTATTATGTTATATCCTATCTCAATTAGTCTTAAAACGGAGAGATATAACAAGGCTAAGAAAATAGAATACTTTATTATATATTACCTTTCACATATCCCTAACTAAATTCTTTTTAATTTCTAAATGTATTTGGATTTTGATGAATTAAGTCTTTTAGTTCCTCTAAATCAGGTCCTATAATCATAAACTCTTCAAATAAAAGGTCTCCCTATTATCCAAACTTTTTTATATTATCATATAGCTCCTTAAATTAACGGCGCTCTTATTCATATTAGATTTATTTAGGATCTTCATTAGTATTTTCAATCATCGTCTTCATATTTGAATCTTCTAAGGTAATTTCGTTTTCAAAATCTTCTGAGCTTGATGGTATCTAATCAAATGTTTGATTTAAAATAATATTATTTAATTAATTATTATTTTTATTATTTTAATTTTAATTATTTTCATTCTAAATATTCATTTTATCACTGCATATATCGTTGATTAATCTCATAGAATTCGTATTTGTTTTATTTTTTAAAGATGAGGATAAAGATGAAGCATTTTGATTTTACAAATAAATATTACTCTGAACTTCTAAACAATTTTAATTTATTGTTGAGCTTTTATTAGAAGAATTATTCATATTTGTATTATTTTGATTTATAAATTCATTTTTTTAATTATTTTCAAATGACGCATTCTACATTTTAAATGAGTTAATCGTATTCTAACTTGGCTAATTAGAATAGATATAATTCACTTGATTTTAACTTTGGTCACAAAAATCTTTCTAATTTTGATAGTAAAAAGAGCTTTCTGACTAAGTTTAAAGCGAGTTTCTTTATACATTCAGTTTTTCTTACTAAATTGGAATGAATTAATCAAATTTTGGTTATTAATGTGGGAGAATAGGGCCTTAAGTATCATCAGGCGATTAGAGTATTTGAATATTTATTTTCTCTGATGAATTAATTTAGTATGTATAGAAATCAGTTAAATTATTTTTAGATTTAGAGATTTAAATATTTTCTATTTTATTTCCTTGATTTAAATTTTTACTCTATTAGTATTTTTAATTGCATTTTGAGTTTTGATTGTTTTTTTTAGAAATAACTGCATTTAGGTCTGATTGATTTTCTTCTACTTGGTTTTCGCCTTTATTTTAAATTAAATCTTTCTAATAAAGTAATAAATTAGAGGGCTTATTAAGACGAGGTTAAATAGAATTGCGATATTATACTTAGTTAAGCAGCTATTATTCTAAGTTATTTTTATATTGCATGATTTTTTGATTCTTTTTTATGAAAATTGCATCAAAAGATGATTTATTTTAAATCTAACGTTATCTTTTCTCTTTTAACAAATCCTTTTTAGGTACTGGCTTGAATAGAAAACCTTCTTTCAATTATTCATATCCTGAGGCCATAATTTAATTAGTAATATCAAATTTTAATAAATTTTATCTCAAGTTAGATTTTTGTGAATCCTTTTAAGAGCCACCACATTCTTCTGCTTTCTTATTTTCTTCGCATTATTTTTATGCATTACCTCTTAATATTTATCTTTATGGTGGAATAACATCAGATGTTTCCTTTGCTTAAGATTAAATCATTTTTAGATCATTCATAGAATTCTGATATTAACTTTCAAAGGGAAGTTAACCCTAACTATAAGCCTTATTTGAATAAGATATCGCATTTTAATTGCAGCTTTATTGAAATTTATGAAGTGTTTTAGATTTTTCTTCATGAAATTCTTGTTATATTAATATGTTCTGATTATACAACTAATTACTACTCAATAATCTTTTGTTATTGTGCTCTTATTATTTTTTAATTATTATGTTTAGTAGCAATGAACATTTATGAATTATCATCATCCTCTAATGATAAATCTTCCTTAGATTACCCTTGTTATGTTTAATTTAATTAGTTAATTTCTTCTTCTTATCTGGCAATTTTTTCTTAAGCATAATTTAGCCTGGTTTTGAGCTCATTTAATTCTTTAAGAAGCTATTGATTTTATACTAATATTTGCTTTTACTCTTGTAATTCCAAAAATAATTATTCCTATAAAATGATTGGATTCATATCTGGAGTAGAGTTTTATATAGAATTAAAACAGAGACTTTAATTGTCTAACTCGTTGAGAGCAGTTTTATGTATTAAAGCATTGTCTGACATATCTTTTTATTACTAGATTTCAAATCCTAAGTTTTCCATAATTTTTACAAAAGTCTACTTTACTTTTGGGTGGATAATTAATGTGAAAAAAAGTATTATTTTTTTTAATAATTGAAAAGTAGCAAGTAATGCTTTTATATAATTACTTCCAATCTGATTCTCTCAAATATTTATATTGATGACGATTAAATAAATAAATAATAATTTATAAGTTTAAAATATACTTATCATACTCAAGCTATACATAGTTAAAATAATTTTTAATAATATTTATCAGATTTAAAAAAACAATAAACATTGATCAATATTTAAATACTTGTCTATAAATTTAAAATAAGAAATATTAATCTTTGTTTATTTGTTTTAAATTGAGGATTAGTCAATTACCTTATTTCGTTAGTTTCTCCTATTATTTTTCAATGCTCAGATTTTATAAGTTAAATCACTTGGATTTAAATTATTTTTTAAGTTAAATCACATGAATTTAAATCAATAGATTATAATAAATACTTAATATGTTTGTTTTCTTGCAAAATACAATTGCTATTCAAGCGTGAATACAAAAAGTTAAAGAAAAATTATGGAAAATGGAAATCGAAAAGTAAGAAATTGAATCCAAAATTTATATAAAATAAATTAAAATTTTAATAAAAGATGAATAAAAATTAATACGAGAATTATACTCATTACCTTATTGCATAAAATAATAAAAGAAAAAGATCATTTTTTAGCGTATCCCTTAAATAATAGTAAACATATAAACACCTAACCTCTTAATATATCCTCCTAATATGAGCTACAAAAATTAGTACTTTAAAAGATTTTTATTTTTTAATCTTAAATTCTCGTTTATTATTTTATAAGAAAATGTAAATTAATTATTAAAAAAAATAATTTTTAACCAATTTTGATTGATGTACTTTTTAGGAAAGTTAGTTTTTTGCATAAAACTTACTTATTATTCATGATAATATTGTATAGTTAGTTACTGGCGCTAATTATATTAACTAAATCAGCTATTTATTTATTTACTTATTTATTATTGTTATTAACTATTTATTAAATTAGAAATTGATTAATTTTAGTATATTATTAAGATCTTTCTATATAAATTAAAAACCTTATTTATTAAATTAGAAATTGAAATCAATATATTTTTGATTTGTTTATTTGGGAATCTTAATATTCTAATATTTTTTCAATTATATTTAGGAAAGCAAGTTATTGACAAAAAATTTCTAATTTATGATTATTTAAATTTTCTATTTCATGTAGATTTTAATGGAAATTATGCTATTGATTGAAAAAAATTGAACAGAAAAAAAATAAATTAATATTTATTTCTAAATTGAATTATTTTATAAAACAAAAACAATATAAGATAATTCTAAGATATTTATTGATTTTATTTATGAAAATTTTTCTTAATGTAATTTTTAAAAAAAGTATTAAAACACATATGAATTGGTAGGTTGATTTATTAAAAAAATAATATATTTTATTATTTTTAAATCTTTTAAAATTTATTTAATTTCTAAATATTTATTTATGTATTTAATGAATAGTCCCCTTCAATAATTATTATTCATTTATTTATTTATTTTTTAATGATTAATGTCACTATATTTTTCTTAATTCAAATCTAATAGATTATTTCATAAAGCTTAAGTCTTCTTACTTATATTATTTGAAATTTAAAGACCATAACAGTGAGATATATAGAAGGCTGATAAAGATTAGTCCACTAAATATAGGAAAGGTAATTATTATAGAATTTAATTCGAGATGATTTATTAACTATGCATTGATGATTTTAATAGAGTTAGATTACTTTTAATACATTATTTTATTATTTTAATGAAATAATAGTGCAGAAGAAACAATAAAGCTGTCTGCAATATATAAAGTTATATAACAATCGTTTTCACTCTTCTTGATATAGTTTTCAGCTTTGACACTAATTCTATATTATTCAGTCATAAGGAATATCTCAGGTAAGTTCATGGCTTCTTAGCATTAACAATAAGCACAATTTTGGAAATTTTTATCTTCAGGTATGTTGTATTTATTTTGAATGAACTAATATAAGCTACTAGGAATATAAACAGTATCATCTAATTTACCTTATTAATTAGTTATTTAGTCTAATATTATTCTCTTTTGCATTATTTTTTCTGATATGTCTTCATCATTTAAGTATATTCCATAGCTCATAATTTGAAAAGTATCTGAGTTGCTTACCAAAGGATTAGAAGGAGTATTGTAATATTCTGCTTTTGCATCTAAATCAAAAGTAATATCAATGCTATTATATGTTATATTAGAATCTCCAAACTGCACATTATATTTTAAGCCACTTAAAATATAATCACTAGTTCTGATAGCATTCTAATTATACATTTAGTCAATAATATTATCTGATAGTCTATCAAAAACAACAACTCCGTTGTAGAAAGACTAGTAAAGACTGTTCAAATTTTATACACAAGCAAATTTATACTTTGTTTGTATATTTTTATATGATAAAATATCATTTACAAAGACTCCAGATATTTATGACTTATATAGTAAGTTTTATCTTTCAAAAGGTTCCTCTATTTAAGCAGTTTGACTTTATTTTATGTCATAAAATTGTTTAACACCAAGTCTTTTTTACTACTCATAATATTTCTAGTCTATTTCACTAATACTCTAATCAAATATGAACTGTCCCAGATTTTCTAAAAATTTTGTTCCAATCTGAATCTACAAGATAAGAGGAATTGGAGGAGAGCCTAAGTTGAGATTAATTAAGGTTGATATCTCACTACTATCTGTGCGTGCATTAATTATTTCTTCACTTACTGCATGCTAAATAATTATAGCTAAAGTTATTATAATCATATTAAGCATGATGTTTAAGGATTTTAATTTGTATTAATTAAACATTTTAAAAAATGAACTTCCTGAATAGTATTTAAACACTCGCTCGTTCTATTATAATCTAATCAAAATATCATTTAAAATTTTGATCAGCTAAATAAATTAATGCTATGATCAGTTGATTTAAAAACTAATTAAGATCAGTTAAAAATTAGATTAGGTATCTATTTAGATACATATCTGATAAAGATTTATTTTAACAATAATATCCATGAATGTTACACTTATTTGAAATATAGCAGCAAATCTAAATAATAATCCATTTATTTATTTATTTAACTATTTTTTCATTCTAAATTTATAATAGTTTTTTGAAAAATTTTGCAATTTATTTGCTAAAGTTGATAAAAGTTACATAAATTATTATTAAAAATATAATAGAATAAAAGTATAAAATGGAAAAATTCAATAAATAATTTTAAAATCTAGCTTTTAAGAATTTATTAGGTTCTAGTTGGAATTAAGTATATATTTTTTGAATTACTTTTAATTATCGTTCTAGAAAAATTAAAAAAATTTTACTTTTAATTTTATCATTATTTATGCTGTAATATATTTAAAAACTTCGATTTATTATGATTTATTTTCAAGTATAATAAAAAAAATCTTACTTTTTATTTTTTGATTGTTTTTGCTTTAACGTATGCAAAAATTTAGATTTATAAAAAATTAATACATTATTTAATCTTAATATATTAAGCTGACTTAATTATTTCTTAAGAATAACAAAAAATACAATTGCATTTACTAAAAATTAATTAAAGAATTCTATTTTTAAATACAAAATTTGATCTAATTTATAAACTCCATATTTATTTTAAACTCAAAAATAGATTCAATAAGAAAGATAAAAACTCTATCTAAAAGTCTTTAAATTTCTAAGTGAAATATATTACTATTTTTCAAAGAAAAAAATCTTATTGAAGAACTAAAATCATCAAAAGCACTTTTAAAGAATGCCAAAGTTAAAAATAAATTTATTTAGCTTATGCTTTTTTAAAATATAGAAACTTTGAATTTATTATAAAGAAATGGATATAAATTTTTTTTTTATAATTATTCATCACTTAACTCTTCTAAGTGAGTTCGTTCTGTATATAATAATCATAGATGCGACCAAAATTATATTAGTTTTTAAAATTGATAATTACATTAAACCATAAATAATTTCTATTGAAGTTCTATTTATTTAATTCATTATTTTACTGTTTTACATTTGATTTAAAATGAAATCTATAAAATTAATATTTGGTTATTTTGCCTAATAAGCCAAATCTAAAAATATTGGCTTCAATTTAGATAATTTCTACAATAACATGTTAAAAAATATTAAAAAGTATGACCTTAAAATAAATTTCTGTGTTGCATTTTATCTCTTTATATTTTTGAATTTATTTTCATTAATACTAATTTAGTGGTAGCTTTATTATTTTAAATATTGCTAAGTAGGTTAATTAATTATTTATTTTATTATAAATAATTATTTTTTTATTTGGATGTGAAAGAAGATAATGAATTAATGTGAATATATCAATATTTCAAATTGATGTCAGTTTATTTTGCTCTACACTTTCATTTGAATGAAAATTTATTAATATCAAAAAATATTAAAATAAAAAGAGTTTTTAGGATAAACAAGGCTTAAAACATTCTTACTAAAGCAATAAGTTATACCAATACCTAAAATAAACTCATTAAAAAATTCAATTTGATTCCTATTTTATTCTTTTTACTTTAAAATTAGACTTAGATTTTAAGTATTAAATTTAGAAAACATTTGAATAATAAAAAAAATTGATTGAATTTTGATTGATATTTTATTGCTTAAAAATATTTGGATAGTTGTTTAAATCATATATTTGTTTTTTGTTAATATAGTTAAATAAAATATAAATAATTAATTATAAATCAAATATTTTTTCAGAAAATATCATTTTTTAGATTGAATAGTTTTTATAAATAAATATCAATTATTTTTAAACATAATATCATATCAATTTTCGTTAAAGATATACCAAAAAAATAATTAAAATTTAAAAACAAAACAAGCAACATAAAATACAAATAGCTAAGTTTAGAACATATTAATAAAAAATGTTACAAAAAATTAACAAATTTATTAAAAAGAGATACTGGAAAAAAAATATTTTAAAAAAGATGTGCTTATTGAAGTGTTAAAGAATAAATAAATAATTTAGAGTTATTCTTTTTATTTTTCATCAGATAGATTAATATATATCGATTTCTGACATATAATCTGTATTAGATTATTTGCGATAATTAAAAAGAAATAAACATTTCTATCTATCAATTTTGCTAATTGCTTGAAAATATTTAAATATTCTAAGTTACACTATTTCTTTCAAGTTAAAATTTATCAACATTTTTTTTTATAGCAAATCAAAAATGAATCAAAAATCAAAATTATTAGATTAATTAAAATTTCTTTCTTCAAAGTAAATTTTAATAAAGAGTACTAACTAATATTTCATGTATTTTTAACTTGTAATTATATTTTTTAAATTTTATAATTTTAGAATGAGTTCTTGTTAGATTACTTCTGAATATCAATGTGGAGTAAAAACTTTTTAATTAATAATAACTTGGGAGAAATTGTTTGAAATTATTCGATTATTTCATTATTTGTAAGATTAATTAGTTAATATCAAAACTCTAAAAATTGGCGAGTAATATGAACTGAAATCAGGTCATTAATTAATTTATTTTGAATGCTTTTATCAAACTACTTTGTTTTAAACAATAGATAAGTTTTCTACAAATTAACAAATATTAAAATATATACATAGATAAACAAAAAAAATTACAAATATTTATTTTAATGACTTGAGTCACTCACAAAATTTAGCAAAATTAAAAAATTTTAATGTAAAAAGATTATTTATTTTAGAAATTACAATAAATTAAATTATTAATTATAACTTTATTATAAAATATAAAAATCTATTTCTTAATAAGAGGAAAATAATTAGAGATATTATAAATATTCCAAAAATAAAATACAGAGCTAAACAGAAAATTCTACTTAAAAACATTATTTTTATAATATTTAAGAACATTAACTACTAGAATTTTTTCAAATATAACTAAATGAATAACTGACCATCTATAATTCCTACTATATATATTTTTAAGTATATCTTTTAAATATAAATATTCAGTTTAAATAATGAATATTAAATAATTTTTCTGTGATATTTATCTCTTCATAAAACCAAATATATAAATTAATATTTGATAATTAATTAATTATTATATTTATTTGTTCCTTTTATCCATTTATAATTAATTAATTAATTAATTAAATTTCATAAATTGCTAAACAATATTTTTGAAAAAATAAATAAATGATGTAATAGATTAAAAGATATAATAGATTAGAAGAAGTAATTATTAATTTTTCTATTAATATCCTTTAAATTTATATAAATTAATAAAAAAAGTTTATAAGCTCTTCTCTTTTATCTCATTAGATTCTCCATATTGATTTCAGGTATATTTTATTAATAAATATTATTTTTATTATTATTAATATTTTTTTTATATTTAAATTTCTATTTATTTAAATAAATAATTTTTATTATAGAAATTATCATCATTATTTATTGATTTGTTTTTTTTTCATTATTTGTTAATTTTATTAATTATAATAAATCTTATTATTTCATGTTTTTTCTTCATTTTTTCCTTATAATTAACTATAGTGCAATGCTTATTTAATTTATAAAAGGCAAAATATAATATTTCTTAATAACATAATAATTAAGCTAAATTAGTTTAAAATAGCTTTATTTTTGAGTTTTTAGAAAGCTTTAAATTCACAAAATGTAAAATTTGAAATAATATATGCATACCGTATATTCTTATAACTTATCATTTTTTTTTTTAAATAAATTTTGAAAAATTTACTAATATTTTAATTTTATAAAATGTAAAACTTGTATATAAAACTCACTTTTTTTTTGAAAATATGTATGGCAACTTATTCTATTTAATGATTTATTTTTTCTTCAATATTTAAAAAGTTGGAATTATATTTATGCAATCGGTACATCAGACTTAGGTTCTGCTTTAGCAAAGTGTATTAATCTCTCAAATTTGACACTTAACCTTGGGTAAAAACAGTTTATTTGTTTAGGATTGTGATATTTTTAATTATAAAAACTAATTAAAAACAA